CCAATTAAAATCTCAAAAGCTCCAATAATAACTCAGCTACAGTCCCACATCTCAAACGAGTTGAAAAGGAGGCGCCGTAGATGCATTCCCGTCTCCTTGCCATCTGTGCTTGAATGCCTGACCACAGAGATCCTGGAAATGGCAGGAAACGCGGCTTGTGACAGCAGAATGACCGATGAGGAGCTCAACAGGCTTGTAAGAGCCATATCAGTGAAATAAGTAATTGATGACTTGTCAGGTGAGCACGCAGCTTTGACACTTGGGTGGTGGGTGTGTCAGTGTGTGTGTGCAGACTGTCATCAGATATAAATGACGTGCTAACTGGCGTTCTGGCTTTGTATGGATGAGGAAGTTGGATGCGCCCGGATCATCATATTTTCTGTTGACCGTGTTATAAGATGCCGTAGTTATGCCATTAAGCATTTATCAATAGTTTGGACCTGGTCAGTATGTGTCTCCGTCTGTGTAATGTTTAACGCACGGACATTTGAAACGGAATAAACGATCATGACACGAAGAAGTGACCTGGCGTGACGTCAGTTTGGAAACACGCGTCAGACAGAGATTCCCAAGTCTAACCCAGTGCGGCCCTCAACTCCATAAGTTTGCGGCATAATTTAGGCTGCTTGGAGGAGTTCTGCCTGGCGTTCGGGTGGTCCTGCAGACCAGAGGAACCAAAAAGCCATTTGAATCTGGGTGGATGGATTGGACGGCATTTGCGGCCAGTTTCTTTGGATCTACTCTGGGATGGATGTTTACAAGAGATCCTTCCTGCCTACAGCCGTCAGTATCTAACATCTCTTAACGAAACGAGGATAACGAGTTACATTTAATCTCCCTTTGGAATTAATAAAGCGTTGTTTGACTTGAATTTGAATTGAATTGTCCTAATGCAATCTCATGGTGCCATTTCCACAGTCGACAAAAAAAAAAAAATCCCAGGCGATCGCTCATGTGTAAACAGTCTAAACTAAACCCATCCCCACTGCTACAGTTGTGATGAACCTGACGGAGGACAGGAAAGTGGAAATATGCAGGGGATACTTTGTGAAGCACAGCAACAAGTGCTGCACAGCAAAAAAACAAAGCAAGCAAATACACAGCTCCAAATAAAGATAAGAGCTGTGTTTAAGGCATCAAAGTAAAAGGCCTTTTCCTCAAATCCCACCCTGAAGGTTTCTGAAACCCCCTCCCTACCGAGGCCTTTTATGAGGCAACCTCTCCCCCCAGAACTCATGTTTTGTTCCTGGTTCCTGCAGCTGAAATGCCCTTTTGTTGATACTGGTGTGTGTGTGTGTGAATGGGGGCGCACACTCTCTGACGAGCTCTCCCTTCCCCCCTCGTTGCGTGCGCGTGCGTGTGCCAGTCTGGCAGCGTAACATCTGTGCGTACGCGGTCGTGATTGTTGTGAAGATGGCGGAGGGGGAGACAGAAAAGGAATATGATACACGGAAAGCTACCGACGAGCTGCGCGAGCGCTTCCAGGGTTTGACCACGGCTTTGAAGGAGAGCTCGCAGTCGTCGCTGGAAGCCTCCTTGCATTTCTGCCAGGAGTTCTGCCAGGTTAGCCCCTCGTTGTCCCGCTGCTCATCCCGGGGAAGCCTGCAGCCCCTCTGGCTTCCTGGCCGAGGATGCGCGTTCGCTACAACAATGTAGCTAAGGAGCTAGCAGCCCTGCTAGCTGCCTCGCATTCAAGATGGGGGAAGAAAGAAAGAAAGAAAAAAAATTTTTTTTCTTTCTTTCTTTCTTCCCTGTCCGTTCTCAGCGTGTTCATGTGGCGTTGTTCTGTGCAACAGTTTGACATTTCAGGAGACGTGAGCTTACTGCAGAGTCTGCCAGCTGTGCAAGTATTACCCGTATTTTCCAGGCCGATGAATGTTGCTAGCTGGTGTGCAGGGTCCCCCAGTCCTGTGCAGTGGTCGTGCTGTGCAAAAAAAAAAAAAAAAAAGAGCTGCGTTAGCGACATTTTCCAGGACGATTGCATGAACGTGCACTGATCATGTAT